CTCCGTTTCGGCATCCACAGAGCAGTGTGTGGGATGTCCCCAGGCGTGCTGCTTCACCAGTTCTCCATAAGCCATGGTGACAGCACGGCCTATGTGCTGGGGTCCCGGAGGACACTGGCAGGGCAGGAAGCTCTGCGGCTCAGGGAAGTCAGCCTTGGAAGGCAGGCCAGGTGGCAGGTGGGGCAGGAAAGCCCGCAGGCCTGGCAGCTGTGCTCCTGGCCCTGCAGGTATTAGCACCTCACTTGAGGCTCCCCAGGTGTCAAACCAGGGGGTGGCCCAGGGGCCCCCCAGGGGCCCTCTGGAGTTCATACTGGAACTTAATGGTGGTGCTGGCAGATGGGTGACAGGCTCGGAGGTGGTGATGATTGGGAGCAGAGGTGATGGTGACCGTGATGGGAGGGGGCCGAGGGTGACCAGGAGTGGACTTGGTGTCTGGAGGGTGTCTGTGGCGGTGGCAGGCGTGAAGGGGCCTGGCTGTGAAGCTTCAGCTGGAGTTCTACCTCCCCATCAGACTCACTATTTACTCAGCCTCCCACCACCCTGGAGGAGCCCTGGTGGTGTTGTGGTTACAAATTGGGCTGCTTACCCTGAGGTCAGTGGTTCTAAACCACGAGCCACCCTTCAGGCAAAAGACAGGGCTGTCTACTCCCCTAAAGAGTTCCAGTCTCGGAAACCCATATGGGCAGTTCTACGCGGTGCTACAGGATGACTGTGTTTGCATCGACCCCCTGGCCGTGAGTTTAGTTTCTTTTTGTGCCCCCCAAGCGCTGAGGTTAGTGAGCCTTTTCTAAATTGCCTCATTGTGTCTCCCATGTTACAGATGGGAGACGAGGCTCTCAGCGGTGCAGTGACTTGCCCAGGGTGTTGAGGGAGGCCTTGAATCCCAGTCAGTCTGGTCCCCAAGGCAACCCTGGATCCTTGTTGTGCTTCATGGGCTGGATCTCTTTCTCAGACCCTGCCTCACGGAATGGGGACCCATGCACGGGTTACCCAGCGCTGTGGAGGGTTCCTGTGTGCCCCTGGCCCACCAGACAAACACCTCTGGTGGCACAGACTTACCCCAAGTGAACCCACTTACACAGGACACTACTACTTGGGATGGGGGAGGCTGGGGAGAATAGGACAAAGAGGAAATCTACTCCCGGGCTGGGCCATGCGCACAAAGCTCCCAAGGGTGCCCCCAGGTCCCCGAGGCATCTAAACCCAGACTCAGGGTCTCCTTACCCAGCCTGCCCAGGAGCTCTGACAAAGCCTTGATGTCCACCTCCAGGGACAGGCGCGACTCCTGGATCTGCCGCTCCATCTCGTTCAGCCCTGCACCCACCTTCCCGGGAGAGGGAGAAACAATGGGCGGCCCCCTCCTGGCTGCAGGGCAGGGGAAATGGGCGGAAGTTCCAACAAGCATACCTGCTCTGCTTCCTCTCCCTCCTGCAGGTGTGCTCTGGAGATCAGCACCTGGCGGGAGGCCCTGCGGAGAGTGGCCTGTGCCTGGCTGGCCAGTCGGCTGGCACGCCGGTGCTCCTGCTTGCCTGTCCTCAGCAAGGCCTGGGCGAGCTACAGGGTGGGCAGCAGTGGCATGGAGGGGTGGTGGTGAGAGGGGTCAGGCATGCACTCTGTGCCCCACTCTGATTCACCCAGTACAAAGGCATGAATGCCCTCCAGGGGTGGGGCACGGGGTTCCATTGCTGGACAAGCTCCACCTGTTTCACAGACGAGGAAGCCGGAGCTCAGAAACCAGGAAGGACCATCAAGGTCAAGTGGCAGGACCAGAAGTTAGACCCGAGGGAACCAAAACCCAACACCAAATTCACTGCCTTCAGGGCCGTGCCCGGTGGGACAGGGTAGAACTGCCCCTGTGGGTTTCTGAGATGGTAACCCTTTCAGGAGTAGAAAGCCCCATCTTTCTCCCAAGGAGGGGCTGGTG